ACCTAGTCTTTCTTTCTTTCTTTTAACATAATATAAAAGTCATTTTATTGTTTTGCAACCTTTAACATTCACATGTAAAAACAGAAGATTCTGCCTGGAAATGCGAGTTGTGCTATATTATAAGAAACTAAATTTAAGCTGAGTGCAGTGGCTCACACTCGTCTCTCTCTTTTTTAAGGCAGGCTCTTGCTCTGTCGCCCAGGCTGGTGGACTTCACTGCAACCTCTACCTCCCGCGTTCAAGCGATCGTGCCTCATCCTCCCAAGTAGCTGGAATTACAGGCACGTGACACCACACCTGGCTAACTTTTGTATTTTTTTGTAGGTACGAGATTTCCCCATGTTGCCAGGCTGGTCTTAAACTGCTGGCCTCAAGCGATCCTCCCACCTTGGCCTCCCAAAGCGCTGACATTACAGGCGTGAGCCACAACACTGAGCCAAGGCCTTGTCTACACACACACACACACACACACACACACACACTTTTTAATTAGCCAGGTGTGATGTTGAGCGGCCGTGGTCCCAGCTACTTAGGAGGCTGAAGCGCCACTGTACTCCAGCCTGTGCGACAGAGCGAGACCCTGTCTCAAAACACACACACACACACACACACACGCCCCAAAACCAACTGGATGCCAGTCCCAGCTATCTCTGTAACTTTGCCTACATTCCTTTATCAATAAAGGGCAAATGCACACGCCAGGCCTCCTTCACGAGGTCGTTCTGAAGTCTAATGCAAATGAGAAATGGCGACCAACTGTCATGTGTGCCCAAATCTAAGATCCATTAAGTGATGGCTACAGTCAAAGCTCAAAACCAACAGGACAGGTCGTGGCCAAGCATACTGCAGTCACTCAATAAACAAAGGTCAAATAAAAAGTATTTTTCTCCAGTGACGGGGTAAAGAGGAGAAGCGTGCTGGCCAGACCCCTCAGTGTCGCTGCACAGTCCTCAAAAGGTAACTCCCTATCTCTGGGCCTTCTTTCCCCCTACGTGTACAATGAGGCTTTGACAATGAAGACTTCTAATCACCGCTACATTAAGGGAGGCCGACCCTGAGAGACCAGAGTGCCTTAACGTGCAATGTCATGAAAAGTGCACCAGAGCAGAGGGTGGGCACTGGACTGGGAGGCAAAGGCACAGAGGTCTGGTCCGAGCGGCCCTCTAGCGAGCAGTGTGACCTTGGCCAACTCCGTTCCCGCAAACCCCTTCCTCCCGTCTTCATCAGCACGCCTGGCCTGAAGGCAGGGGCTGCTGCGGAGCCGGAGCCGCCAGTGCGCCCGCCTGCCGCGTGGGCCAGCTCCGCACTGCCTCGCCCCCACGCCACCCTAGCCCACCCCAGCGCAGCCCAGCCCGAGGAGTCCCACGCTCTTCCGCAGGCGAGGGATGGACCCCTTCCGGATGCAGGACGTGCCAGGACAGCAGTTTCGATTTCCTAAGGAGAAGGCTTCCTTCCCCCGGAGTCCCGGCACTCGAGAGCCTCCCCCGCTGCCGCCCGGCCCCGCCGCTGCACGCAGCACCCGCACGGGACCTCCCAGCCCCGCTCCGCAGCCGGCCGCAGTCCCGCGGGGTCCGTATCGCGGGAGGGGCGTTGCCATAGGAACCGAACTCCGGACCCCGGCCCGCCGAGGTCTGGAGAGGCTGGAAAGGAAGGCTCGCGAGACCCGCGGGGACCCCCACCCCCACCCCATGCAACCACGCCCGGCCGTCCCCTCCTAGGGCAGCTTCGCCCAGCCGGCAGCGCCCCCACAGCTCCGCGCCTTCCCGCTCGGCTCCACAGAAACCCTACCTTCCGCCATGTCTGACCCGGCACTGCCTCCGGCCTCGCGAGAAGTGCGCGGAGGAGCCAGGGCGGCGCGGAACCGAGGCACCAAGTCTCGCGAGAATCCTGGGAGGCGCGGCCAAGGGCGGAGCCGAGGGGAGGAAAGCGCTGAATGAAAGCTGAGCGGGTGAACTGGGCTCCGCGGGAGTCGTTTTGAAGCGCAGGCATTCGGGCTGACAGATACCTGGGACAGGAGAGACGCCGTTGAATGTGTAAGCCTTCTGATTGCGGCAGGACACGAGAGGCGCGGAGGTGGTGTGGGTAGGGAGGTGCCTGGGGGAGCTGCCCTGAGCCAGCCACACTCAGGCACAAAGAAGGGTAGGGGACACCTTGCCAGGCTCCGTGGAAGCGCCGTCACTCTGTTGAGAATGGTTTATAGGTGCGTCCAACAGTGGCCCGGCAGGCCGGGCTCTCCGGGACGCAAGCAGCCTCGTCTGTCTGTCGTGGAGTACCCTGCACATATGGCCCGGGTCGTAACATGAAAATGACGTGAAAGTTGTAGAGTTTTGTCATGGCCGATTCCTGATTTGCATGGCGACTGTCACTAACCTCAGCAGCACCAGCCTAGACTCTGGAATACAGCAGGTGCTCAGAATGTTTGAAGAGGTGTTTTCCATGGTGTGCTACTCTGGGAGTGGAGACCCGAGTTCGGGTTTGGCTCTGCAGCTGACTTGCTGTGTTGATTATGGGCAGGTCCTTGCCAGCCTTGTGCCGCATCTGAGTCTACCTCAGTTTCACGAGGAAATTGGACTAGAATTAGTGGTTCCTAAAGATTTAGAGGGCCATGGCTCCCTTTGAGAATTTGATGAAAACCAGAGGCCTCTCCCTTTGAGTAGCACACGTGCAGGAATAAACAAACATGTGCCCTTTCAGAGCGTGCTGAGACTAGATGCCCATGATCAAAGAACTCTCCTGAAGGGATGGATGAGTTCAGGGGCTTGACTGCCTCTTCATCCCAGCCTCGCTCTAAGGAGCCCTCTACCAGAGGCGAACGTACCCCTCTTAAAAAGGACTTCATGGTATCCCTGAGCCCTTGTTTTATTTTTGGCGGGGGACGGGGGAGACAGTCTTGCTCTGTCGCCCAGGTTGGAGTGCAGTAGCACGATCTCGGCTCACAGCAACCTCTGCCTTTCAGGTTCAAGTGATTCTCCTGCCTCAGCCTTCGGAGCAGCTGGGATTACAGACACCCACCACCATGCCCAGCTAATTTTTGTATTTTTAGTAGAGACAGGGTTTACCATATTGGCCAGGCTGGTCTCAAACTCCTGACCTCGTGATCCACCCTCCTCAGCCTCCCAAAGTGCTGGGATTATAGGCGTGAGCCACCGTGCCCGGCAGGCCCTTGTCTTTTGAGGGGACTCTTACAGGCTTGTAACCCCTGAGTTACAGAGAACGTAAGTAAAGCCTGTGAAATGAAGCACTTGTAGTATTCAGTAAACTACAACACCCAACAGGTTTGGAGGGAGCTGTAACATTAGCTATAACCAGAAATACAGACATCTTGAAAAGGCTGAGCACTGAACATGGTGCATTTTAAACCCACTTCCGGTTTTGTCAGTCAGATTCAGAGGAACGTAGTGTGGTGCTGTCTCAGGCAAGGAGCATGAAGGAAGCGGAAGGGAATGCATGCTGTCTGCCCTAGCTTCAAGAGCGCAGGGGAACACACTCGGGAGGCAGTGCGCTATCACGGCGGGGCGGGAAGAGGGAGGAAATTTACACTAGGAGTCCAGTGAATTGGGTCAAGCAGCAGGCCCAACACATCCACCCTCTGGATGACGCTAGAAAAGTCAGTGTTCCTGAGCTCTGGCCTCCCCACCTGTGAAGGGCTAACAGCACCCACTATGTAAGGAAGGCAGTGGGACCGAATCCCAGCCATGCAACCTGTGTGCTTTACAGCGATGGCAAAGCAGCCTGAACCTGCTTCCTCATGACAAATGATTACTGTGGAAGCTTCTTATAAGAATTTAACTAGAACCTTTAGGAAAAACACACAGCACAAGCTTGCCGCAAAGAGATGCTCAACGAATAGAAATTTGATTTCCAGTGCTCTTGTTGGGAATAAACGGAAGTCACTGTGAACACAAAGGTGCTAGTGTATTTATTCCTACTGGATACTGCTGAGAAGAGGAAAAAAAAATCAAGTGTCTTGCCCAGGACTTTCTATGCAGCTCCTGTCTTACAAGATGTGTTTGGCTGCCTTTTGTGAAAGGCTTTTCCTTCAGTTTATTTACCTATGTGAACAGAATTCAAATTCTTTTAACCATTTCACTAAAGCTCAGTGAGGAGTGCCAACAAGCCAAAAAGGCTAATCCTACCTTAGCAGCCAGATTACACACATCTGAAACTGAACTGAAATGCCACACCCAGAAAAGAATTTGATCTGTGAACTGAATCCTGGCAGGGTTGTGGGCTTCACCAAAGCAAAAGGGTTTGTGATAAGGTGGTGATTAGCCCTATCCCACCAGGGAGCAGAAAAGCAACAACTCTCCTGGAACCTAGTGCCTTGCACACACCATCAAAAACCTGTTCATTTGCATTTGAAGCAGCATGCAAATAAAACATTTTGGCTATTACCCTGAGTCTGTTTGTAACTGATGTAAGTTTGGTGTATCATCTAGACCCTTCCACAACAGTTGATTCTAAATATATTTATCAGGGAATTTACACTCTGGAAATAATCCTTGATCTTCCCAAAACTTCTCTCGGGGGATTTTCTTGTTTATTATTTAGCTGAATAAGAGGTCTGGATCCATGTTCATTTCTCAGAGTTTGTAAGGAAGAGGGCCTAACAGTCTACTAGTGATTTATATCAAGGACAAACAAGCTTTCAACACCTAACGCTAACTCCGTATGAAATATTTGTAAGAATTCAGGATACAAAGTGGATGCTGGTATCTTGTCTATCTTGTAAAGAAAAGAAGGCACTCTACTAGGTCTTGCCTCTTTCGTCAATAACTTACTAAATGGCCCTGGGCAGGTATTTGGGTGTTTCTCCATCTGTTTAGAGGACAGAAGATGATGACTGATGATGCCTAGTCTCTTCCAGTCCACACTGGAGTCTGGGTTCCTCACCTTTTGGCTTATCTTTATGGTAGAGCCAGGTTCATGTGCTGTTTATACAGAAAGAATCCCACAACTTGGTTTTGAGACCTGCATCCTAAAACCAAAATAGCTCATGATACAGCCTCTAAGTCATCATTTATTGATTTTAGAGCACCCATCACATGAATGAGGTGCTTTACAATACAGTAAACATCACAACAGAACTCACATAGTTAAATACAATCAACAAATTACAGAACTAAAAAAAACTGGAATGAAGCAACATTATGTCAGATTTCAAAGATGCTGAGAAGTGGCAGTACAAAAAAGGTAATTCCACCAACTGGAGACCAGAGGGGCAATGATACACAAGCACCACAGTCCAAAGCGGGCAGATTTTTGTAGAGGGTGAGTGAGCATATAAAATTAAATTTCACAACCGAGAATGAAGGCCGTTAAAAGATATGACACCCACATGATCACAGTTACTAGTGGAATAACCTCACAAACATTACCTTATAATGACAAGGATTTTAAACTCAAGAGGCCAAAAAGCCACTGAGATCATCTATCCCATACGAGCACAGACTGAAATCTATATGCCTCTACAAGAATTTGGAATAAATTTAGGACATGGCCAACAGTTCTACAATCCGTAAGATCTAGGGAGATGTTGGCACAAGTTTTGGGGGAAAATCCTTTTCCTAAAGCAGAGAAGAATCACTTCACACTGATGATGAGGTGCTGGTGGAGCAACGGCCACCTGGTTCAGTGTCATCTGAGTGTGGGTTTCATATCAAACGTAGAGGCATTTAAATTTACATTATCAGATGAACACTGAGAAAGGCACAGATGACATCTCTGACAGAGGAAGGGAAGTTGTAACATCTACGTGGGCCTGTGTTTCAGTGTGGCACAGTCAGGGCACCAGGTGGAAAAGCACGTGAAGAGAGACGCACTCATTCCTGGCTCTCACTTCCACTCCCCTAGAGCTAGCCCTAAAAAAAAACCACATGGTTTTATCAAAGGAACTGTATTAAAGTGGCACTTAAAGTTCAAAAATAGTTGTCCCTGAGTTACTAGGTCATTTGCTGCTTGCTGAAGAGTCAAATCCCAAGTTTCACCTCAATAGATTGCTAGCAGAATTGCAGCAATAGGAGAGCAAAATTTGAACTCCATTTTGCCACAAGCAACCACCATGTGAACAATTTCTGACTTAAGAGTAAAAAGGGAGGGATCCCATCTCTTAAAAAAATTTTTTTTAAATTAGCCAGGCATGGTAGCACACACCTGTAGTCCTAGCTACTCAGGAGGCTGAGGCAGGAGGATCACTTGAGCCCAGCAGGTTAAAGCTGTACTTAGCTATGATCGTTCTTACTGCACTCCACCCTGAGTGACAGAGACCCAGTTTAAAAAAAAAAAAAAAAAAAAGTAAAAGGGATTGCATTCCAAGTCCCATGGGGGTGTGCAGTGCTGATATTTTGGGGCAACAATTTTTATAGTCTTTGAAAAACAGACCAAGTCACGAAGTTCTTAAAGAAAACTGGGTTCCAATGAATCAAACAATTTCCAGTCACAACACATTTACAAGTTTTATAAGGTTTGTATAATGTTAATGGGTTTTTACAATGCTTCTGAGCAGAGAACAGACAGGGATTCAGAAAAAAATCACTTTCTACTGTGACTACATCCTCAACCATTTTATTTCTGCTTAAAAAAGGACATACAGCGTTTGCAGAGGTCTGGGCTATTGGCAGGAGTTCTTTCACTCTTCTGCCAAAGCATTTCCCCAAACCCCACAGAGCGGAGATGCACGAATTCTCACTGATTCTCACAAACACATGTCCCATCTGCTACTGTCTCAAGTTCTAACCCCCCTTAGATGCCGATGACTACTTCCCGCACACAACCTCACAACAAACATAAAGGAGCCCAGGGCCTGCCTTTAACACTGCACATGTTCATTTTACCATTCACTGAAGCTGTTTTAGAAAACTGTATGATATGAAATATAGTTCAGCTCAAACATTAATCAAATCCAAGTGTACTATGGTTACTGATAGGATCTATACGTCAAATAGCAAAGCATTTACCCCTGTAATGCTTTTAGATTCACAGAAGAATCTAGATAGAACCAAATACATATACTGCCATGGCCATGTGATTTTCAAGTATTAAGTTTGTTTGCATAAGGAATCAACCTGAGAGTTTTCTAAACCACTTCTCTGGCATTCAGTATTATAGCCTTCATTCAATACAATAAAAGCCAACAACTTGACAATTATTGAAAAAAAATTATATTTTGGAAGAACTCACTACATAAGGTGACAGAATTCCAAAATCAAATTACATGAAAATATACATCGCAATTTCTTTGTACAATAGGTGAGAAAAATCTGCAGTAGAGAATAGAGGCAAAGGAAGATGAAGGACTAAAGAGAAGGGTATGAGAGTAAATAGCATTTGGAACAGCAAACCCAGAGGTGAAGTAGAAAGCCTGTAGCTGTGCATGCTTCATCTATCCAACCTTAATACTAGGCAACTGAAGGGGGGAAAGTCAGATTTGCTACTGTTTGGGGAAATTTCCAGTAAGCTGAATTAAGAACCATCTGTTTTTAGTTCTCCGGGGTAATGACTGGGATCAAGAGCTCGTAACAGCCAATAAATGTTATTGCTATATCCAATCCAAGAGGTGGGTGCAACCAGAATACAAAAGGGACAAAGCACCTAGTGATGACTCCTTCGAAGTCATCATTAAAAATCAAGTAATTGCTCATTAAGTATTTCAGTATTTGAACTAAATGATTTGAGAACATTCTGGTAGACAGAAGAGATAAAAGCAAAGGGGAGTGTGTCAAAACAAAGAAGATACAAAAGTTTAGTAAGTGAAAAGAGTTTAATGAAGCCTCAATGGTTTAAGGGAAATTAAATGGAAACTTTTAATCCTAATTGCTTTTCATCTGACATGCTTAAAGGAGTCCTTTTAAACTGATAAGAAACAATGAATAGGAAAGAAAACCTGCTAAAATCTTTTAGAATGTACACGATTCTTATTCTACTACAAGAAAGCATTATTTGGTACAAGGTGTATCTGTGGATGTGCATGAACAGTATATATATTATCCGGATCATGTTGTGCTATGTACAGGTCTTTACAATTCTTCCTGAAGGTTAAAACAGTTCATTAGAATTCAAAATGCGTAATCATCTGTGAGTTGGCACTTGTTAGGCTCTTGTCAGCACTGATAACTGGCATGTTTTATTGCAGCCCAGTTCCAGCCAGTGTTTGCCAACTTGTACAACAGAAGTCCAGCAATAGGTGGGTAGAGTGCAGGAAAAACAGTGCCATGTTTCTCAATTGGAGACCTACAACAAAACAAACAACATTATACAGTCAATTTATGAATACAAAAGAATTAACTGTTAGAAGGTTTTATTCATCTTAGATTTCTTTGGCAACAAATCCCTATTTCATTCTGAGCTCGCTTTGAATTTGTCTATTATGGTAGCTCACAAGCCATGTGGAGATATTTAATTTTAGATGTAAATTAATTGACATTAAATACAATTTACAATTTAGTTCCTCAGTCATGCTAATCACATCTCAAGTGCTCAACAGTCACATGTGGCTAGTGACTGCAAGCTCAACAGCACAGCTGTATCATCACAGAAAGTTCTATTGGACAGCATTAATTCAGATTTTTCAATAGTTCAAATGTCGTTCAACTTATGTTAAATCTAGAATCCATAAGAGAAGATTTAAAAACCAAGTGGTTTGGAAATTTACAAACATTTGAGGATATTCAGAGAAACAACTTAAGATTGCCACACTTCCCAACTTGCTAAATTCTATCCAACTCACTATAGCTCCCTTCAAACCCATTTTCTCCACAAAGCCTCCCACAAATGACCCTCCTTCCCAATTACAGTTTGTAATTGTTTTGAATCTGTTGGCCTCATATCATCAAATTAGACTAAAAGTCAAGAACACATCTACATCAAAAACAGTACACCACGTCATCCGGTTCTTATGTGCCAAGCAGCATGCTAAGTGCTTTACCAACTCAGTTTCCGAATGCTCGCATCATATGAAGGAGTCTACCCTATAAAGGTGAGACAACTTCACATAGCTAATAAATGGCTGAGTTTCCTGTGCAAAGTCAGAAAAACACTAGGTTGAAGTTTTTCTTATTTATTTAAGACAGGGTCCCACTCTGTCATTCATGCTGGAGTGCAGTAGCATGAACACGGCTCACTACAGCCTCCGGCCTCAAGTGTTACTTCCACCTCAGCCTCCCAAGTAGCTGGGACCACAGGTGCACACCACCATGCCCAGCTAATTTTTAAATTTTTCTATAGAAACAGGGTCTCACCACGTCACCCAGGCTGGTCTTGAACTACTGGACTCAAGCAATGCTGCTGCCTCGGCCTCCCAAAGCACTAGGACTACAGGCACGTGCTGCTGCACCCAGCGGTTAAAGTTTAAGAAGTCTCATCTGACTATTAGACTTTTCAGAGTCTTGATTATATTAACACGTGCTTTGAAAGGGGGTGGGTGGGAGTGCCAAGGACAGCAGAAAAGGAAGCACCTATTAGTATTACATCTTTAAGTGTTCCAAGGAACTCAGAAACTGAATCTATTGCCATGCACAATTTTGGGCAAAAGAATTCAAACAGAAAATGACTGAGAAATCAAGGGATATAATCTTAAATTCCTCACAGAGAAGCCAAATGTACTTAAGAGTTATGGCAAATTTTAACTCACACGAGACATGTTCAAAATTCAGCATGTCTTCTAAAGCCCAACATGAATTTATCAGTCTTACAATCACTCAAATGCAACTATACCAAAAGCTCTGTTGTAGGGAGGAAGCAAGCTGTTTAGACGACCTCCCTACAAGATACTGAGAGGCTGAACCACTGCTAAATGTCTTTCCAAAAGACATGCGTACCAAGCAATGTAAATGGCCCTTAGAAAGGATGCAATGTACTACATAACAAATGTATCACCGTCACCAGAGTCAGGTCCTATCATCTGCACATAGATACACATACGCACATACATATTTTTTATTAGAAAATCCAAAGTCATACACTGAAACTCAAGAGATGGCCAGGCATAGTGGCTCCTGCCTGTAGTCCCCGCACTTTGGGAGGCCAAGGTGGGAAGATTGTTAAGAGGCCAGGAGTTCGAAACCAGCCTGGGCAACAGGAAACCCTTGTCTCTGCAATAAATAATTAGCCAGGCACGGTGACACATGCCTTATAGTCCCAGCTGCTTAAGAGGCTAAGGCAGGTGTATAACTTGAACTTAGGAGTTCAAGGCTGCAGTGAAATATGAGTGTACCACTGCACTGAAGCCTGCGACCTAGCCTTTTAATAGCAAAGATCCAGTTTTAAATAATAGCATTACCTACTTCATCAGAGAAAAAAGAAAATCTATCCCTCTCCCCTTTGAATAAAAGTTATACTAAATTCTAAATAGAGACAAGGCCTCAGTACAGAAAAGGCAGGTTTTGTCACTTTTCTCTAGAAAGATAAATGTGAATCTTGCACACATAAGATCAAAAGTAAAAA